TGGGCTAGAACCCTGTAACGGATAAAGATCGTTATCCCTATAGAATTTCCTGCCCTTGTGGATCTGTCTATGTAGGAACAACCAAACGCCCTATCAACACCAAGGTCAAAGAGCACAAAAGAAACTGTTACCAGGGACAAATAGATAGATCAGCAATCGCCAAACACGTGTCAACACAAACAAACCATGTCATTCGTTTCGACCAGACTCATGCATTGGATAGGAGCAAACATTTTTACACCTGACTCCACAGAGAAGCGATAGAGATACAGAAACACCACAACAACTTCAACAGAAAAGAAGAGGGCATGAACCTTAACAAAAGCTGGTTGCCAGTTCTCCGAAAAAATAAAGACCCTTCCTTCCCGAGACTGAGACAAGGAAAATACCGTAATACAAGCCACGCCCACAACCCTGCTTATAAATAACGCAGGTCCAACAACGTCGAATCCAGTCATCGGAGGAACTCGGAAGAGAACACTTCGTCCCCTACCACACCGCCTCTGAAGATGTCTACCGCAGCAGTAGACGAAACGTTAGGTAGATATATTAGTAATATTACTCAACCACGGCATTATAACCCGGAGAAAACTTTTTTACTAGATTTGACCGGCTGTGAAAGCCTTCATTTTTTATTATAATACTAATAGTTGCCTCACACAAAAATACAAAATTATATGAGCTATGATCAAAATGGACACGATGAAGCTTTTGTGAGTTGTTGGACGCTCGTCTGCTGAAATTTTATGGCTGAGAATGTCTAAAGGGATTAACGCAAGTTCCATGACAGATCAAGATAATCGAAAACCTCAGAGAACTGTTTGATGCCCAGATCAGCTTTCGGGTGCAGAGTGCGAAGCTCCCAGAACACTTCACACCTGTCATACTCCATGCGTTTTGCACTCGAAGGCTTGAAACCGAACGGGTGAAATTGTAGCCGGAGTACTTTAGAGTAGGTAACTCGGGAGCGCTCAAAGGGTGGCACCCGAAAGCAGCTCTGGAGGCACCGGTGTCCCAACCGCCTGATGGTGTTTTTATTGAATTCCAGAAGCAGTATTGCAAAATAATGCTTTCCTATGGTCACTGAAGGCGGAGATGACGCCGCCATAATTTAACCAATACTGGACAAGATGAGATGTTCGTCAGTTCCCTGCTCGGGTACTTAACTCAAACACAGGCTTTAAACTCTACATAGAATGGATAAACTACAAACTGAGCCATGCACCTCTTCTTTCAGCAATGTTTCCTCAAAAATCTACTACCGAAAATTGCACGGTTGCGGGCTGAACCCTTACTCTTATGTTGCTCTTTTAGTGTTCATACCAAAACACGGTTGTCTGACTCGATTGGTGATGTGGAGCTGTGTTTGGAGGAATATACTATGTTCAGAAATAATAAACTCACGCTATAGCGTTGGTACAACTACGCTCTGGCTCGACAAGGTTTATAGGTTATAGACACCTTTGAGATCAATCTCAGATCCCTGGGCTGACATCCTTAGCTCATCATATAAGTTGAAGGATTCGAAACCACTTTTTGATAAATAAATTTTAATTTTGAAAATCGAAACAGCAATATACGTTGCAATGGTCGAAACTATACCTACTCGCAAAAACCACAATTCCGGAAGGTATGATAGTTATTTTTTTGACAAATTTTGCAAACTAGCATCGAGCAAGAACATTTTTAAACTTAAATAAAACTACATTGTGAATCAAAAATATAGAGTGAGAAATAATTAGCGAGTAGTAGATAAAATAGCACTGATTAAAAATTAATATTAAATATCCTTTAAATAAATTATCAATATCTCTAATAATTAAGTACACGTTATTTAAAAAAAAATAAAAATAATAACATCATGATTCATAGCTTTTAATTATGTGGAAAGCAAAATTTATTATAATTTCTGTCAGGTAATTATTTAATTGTATCTTTTTGCACTTTTGCCTGCCACATGTTCGTTCGGGCTGTAAAACGAGTCCAATATCTTATTTTATAAAATAACACGTATTCTGTGACTGTTTTAGCATATGCGGTAATTAAATACCATTAGGTACTATCTGGGGTACCGTTATTTTTCACCGAACGATTATGGGTACGATCCATTCAGGTATGGGATAGAGATGTTTCTTAAAACGTGATAAGTTCGTTACCTTTTTGATTAAATCTTTGGGATTGTGGTTTTGAGTAAGTTGAAGAGGTTCTGCCTTGCGACAGGTAAAGAAAGCATGCAAAAATTTGGAGACTGGAATCCGGAATTGTAATGTGGATTAATACCTAATAATAATTGTTACCAATAGTAAACAATAATTTGTTCATTACAAACCGGAAGATGTATTGATGTAATTGTATGATTCTTCATGTTATTGACATTTACCTCGATATTTATATTGAATTTTCTTCTCAGTATTTGTTTACTGCATTGTTTTACCGACCTTCACCTTTACATCTTCAATAAATATAAAATTATTTGATCGATGACTACGATAAATTCGACTAATTTTCACGACATGTATTATTAATTTATTCTATTGCTATTGTTATTATAGAAAAATAAACAGAAAATCTTGTTCCATTCCTCATCGTGTCAAAAATAACTGTCATTTCACTAACAGCCATTTCAGTCAAGTTTCCACGTATCAACAACGACTTTTATTGCTCTTATTCTCCTAGACACAAAAAAAAGCACTAAACTGCTTAATTATTCAAGACAATCGGCCATTAAATCTAGAAAAACTGCCATGGTACGCAAGCCCCAGGACGATTTTTCATTCTTTTTATCGCCAATATTCATTCAAGGTGATTGGGGCAAAAAACCAGTCAGGAGAAGACCTAACAGAGAGGGATTAAACGGCACGAAGATATGTATTTTTAAATTAGATGTGCAGCTTTGCATTGCATAAAAAAATAGCTGCTTCCACGGTGGTCGAAGGTACTATGACTTGTGCTTGGGTTGACACGATGGAAGAACATAAATTATTATGGTACGACGTGATGTCTTGGGTTATTTCCTGACATTAATCAATGAGATTTAGTACTTCAGAGCCTAATTCTTTGAAACTTTATAGGTAACAAAAAGAAAAATTATCTATCGGAATGTGAAGCATATCGGGAAAAAACATGAAAAGTAAATTAGCAAACTCGCAACCATAAGGCAAATAAACTAAAACTAGTATCGGAGATATTAATTTTAACATCTGCTTTGATATTTCAGAACGTACCGTAATCAAGTACCTGCTATTAGAAGGCAGTCCCCTAGGTACCGTTATTTTTTATTGGATCATTATTGACATGCATGATTTGGCTAGTTTGAACCTGATTAGATTAATAAAATGGTTTGAGCAACGTATATCTTACTGTGATTTTATCTTAGTACCTATCTAATACGCATATGGTCAAGGTAATAACACAAACGAATATTTAGTTCAAGTAGAAGTTGTTATGACATTATAGACTGTATTTTTTCTTGTGAAATTAGGTTTTGTACCAAAATACCCCTTAGCATTACACTGTCGGTTTAATTAGGTAATTGGATCTAATTTCGTTGTTACAAAAAAATTATTCCAGTCCTTCATGTTTTGCATAAAATAATTTTCAGTCTACTACGGAGGTTGCTAGTGTAATTGGCGCAGTAAAAGCCAGAAGTGATGGCTTTCTGAGTGTCACGCTTAATGGTAATAATTTTTTACCGATTAAAATGAATTTGAAAAATGCCTTGGCATATTTCAATTGCCCGCAGATAGGATTCAGCTGCCCGGTGGTAAGCGACGGAATGCCGATCAATTTAGCATAATTTATATTTGATTTATTTGAAAAATATTCTTCGTATTAATCAAGCTATGACAGAGAACTGGGTGAAATGCGAGAAAAAAAAAATTCAAAAGAATAAACTGATATATGTGATTCCAAAATCGTCAATTTTATTTTGGATCAGGACGTTATTTTTTTTTTGTCAGGATTGGATTAGTCAAACGTATTTTAAAAGGTCTACAACTGAATTAAACTTATAAAGGACCTTGTGACAAAAATGTTCAACGACAGATTTCGGAAAACGTGTGATGATGTTTCAATAACAACCTGCCTATCGTTTATCCCGAATTATGAACTTTCATCCATGAATTTTAAGAAAAAATAAAAGATGGATTGCAAGATGCATGCGAAACAGGAATATAACTTGGTATGATTTATAGGTGGAAAATTGAGTCTGTAAAAAAAAAATGGACAAAACCATGACATTTTGACTGACTGAAAATGCCGACGGCGACAGAACCTAAGCTTAATGCATAAATAAATCTATTAAAATACAGTTATAAGAAAATCGACCAAAAAGCTTAAAGAACGCGGAATGCGCTCGGTTTTCACAAGATAAAGCCTTTGATTAGGCGCAAGTCATTTCCTAGCCAGTACCTATAAGCAAATACTAAAACGAGCCGATCAGCTTGAGTGGTGGTGCGACTTTTTTTCTGTTTTTATAATCGGAAGAATCGGTAGCCGCTGCTCTAGGAATTCATAAATAAATTATTCTACTGCCTAATACATTTTATAATAAGATTATTTTCTTGGTAGTAGAGTTTATTTTATTTTCTTTTGCTCGGTTGGAGCAAGAGGATGATCAATGACTTTAGTGACTATAATCTCAAATAGAAGAGATGAAATGAAAGTTGGTACGGTTTGGCCATGCTCAGGAGAACTTTTTTGAGATATAAAGTTGATATAAGGTTTTCAAAAGCCATAAAAAAACTGATACAAACTTATTTTCTGTCAAGTATTTTTTTTCCAAGTTGATTTGAAACTTCATTTAAATTTCAATTATTACAAATATTATTCTGCCAGCAACCAGAGGTGTTTCAGGCAAATTGGACAATGAAATACCAGAACTGTGTATGTTCAACAAAGCTCAAGAAGTACCTAAACACTTGACGACTATAAGCTGTCAACCAATGAACCAAGTAACAACAATGCTAAATTATAACTATATAAAAATTATCGGTACTTACTTGTACATTTGAGTTCTTTGGCTAATTCGTCGGAGCCTAGATAGCAGTTCGGCGTTCCGTCACAGAGTTTCGACAATTCGAATAGCTGTAGAACGTCCGTCGATTCGTTCACTTGACAGCCAAAGTATCCGTCCTCGAGGTTTAGAAAAAAAATTTCGCGCTTTATACCAAAGCCAATCCCGCCAAAGGATTGACCAGTCTGAAACCAAACAAAGAATAAATTATAAGCTAGAAATTTCATGTATAGATAAAAGAATTAGGTATCTAATTTCATTACTAAACGATTTTATCGTAAGGTACTAAAAGATGCACATTTATTTTTGCGCATTGGTTGTAGTACCCGATAATATACAGAGTATTTTAATTAAGCCGTCGCGTCGTACAAAAACAGTAAAATGTTTTTAAAGCGACCATAAAGTTAGCTAATTATGCAATAAATTCTGGGGTGTCATCGCAGCATGGCCGTGAAAATTGCCTTCTTGGCGAATTTTTTAAGACCTTTTTCATGCAATGGTAACTTGAGTATGTGCATATGATTAAATTCCTGAATAATCTTTTATGTTGATACAACGAATATAATGAGAATAAAATCTCTCTAAAAAATCATTGGACATTTTAAATAGTCTGCTGCAGTAAATGTTGTTAATAAAACTCAAGAACCTGTATGAAATATTCTCCATAATCTGTGGACTTTTAGAGTATAAAATTATTAAATCCCAATCCGGAGTTAATTAAACACGTTCGTGTCGTTAAATAATAAATCCCAACCTACTCAGGTGTTATGTAACATGATGCACACAACACAAACATCCACATATTTGTGCATAAAACCGGAAATGGAACCACTGCACTGGAACCTCTTCCGTTCTTGAAGGTTGCCGAATACATAATACCGTTAGGTGGCAAGGTCGTCGTTGTCCGTTTAATATTACCTACTCCAACTTTGCACTTTGATTTTATATGTATGTGGAAATTTTGCTCGCTAATAAATGTTAATGGTGTAATTATGGTTATTAAATTTACAGGGTGTAAATAGTTTAGAATTTATAATAAGCTATATAAATTTCTATAGCAAAATGTTTTATGAGATATTCACATTAAAATGCATTCAGTTTTAAGTAAGTACTACAAGGTTAATAAAACATAGTTATTTCTTTAATTAGTTGAAATAACAATATTTTCCCGGCATATTGTGTTTCTTATGAGAACCTTTACATTTCCGGTAGACTAGTACATTACCCTAACTTATTATATTTATATATCTTCAATTGTTTGGGGCAATTTGTTTAAATACATACATACTTTACATTGTGTTTTCAACGATAAGGAACTGGGAAAAATGGAAAGTAGTATTTAAACCTAAATTGTTTCTTTGATCGTCTCCGCAAATCCTCAACCGTTATGACAATTCGCTTTTAACAGTCTCGAGATATCCGAATAATGCGTTATTTAAAATGCAGAACGATTCTCTATTTGGTACCGCGCAGGACAGTTACATTTTATTAAAATTATCGCCAAATTAGCTCTTACAAATTGATGACTCCTTTTGCGGCTCTATATGACTGTTCCAATCCGTGCGCGTATGGTATTAATTTGGAAATGCCGTTTGGCGATATAATTCCAAATTCACCTAACTCTCTAATGTTTCGATTAGACACGTATTTGATTGGAAGAAATCACAAATTCAAAAATTATTTGAAAAGAAATGCATGGTTGACATTGTCACAAGCATTTGAAAATGCTTGTTACAATCATTGAAAGTAACTCAATTTCATGGGCAAGAGAAATCCAGAGAACAAAATCGGCCTCTATACATGGCCTTCATAGATTTGGTGAAAGCATTTGATCAGGGACGTAGCAACAGGTCGTGCCGCGCACAAAGGCCCGGGCCCCGAAGGGGCCCGGTGGGTCCTGTCACTTTTTGGACACAAGGAAAAAAATCATATCACCACCAAGGATGATACACACTACTACTACAGGATGGCCTATCCTCATAAGGCCTGTGTCCTGTGTGTAACAAATCCCCCCTCCCCCCGCGCCTAATCACCAGTTGTGACGTAGGCAGCATGTTATTTCTCGCCTTGACGTAGGCTATTTAAACAGCTGACGTCGGAAATGGTGACACACCAATATGACGGCGATTACCAAAAACGAGGCCGATAAGCAATCCTATTCCTGTAGGTGTGTATCATCCTTGTAGTATCACCACATCACGCCCGCCCAAGCCATCATTCTTTGCTTTGGTGATTTCTAACCGAAACAAAAAATTGTAATATCGATTTCTATAGATTTCTTTTCAGTCAGCCCTCCGAGTCCCAGTACAAAGTTGTCTGAGAGAGGTAGGTTGCCTGATAACTTTTATGACGTCATCTGGGGTGCCTCGACATAATGCAAATGTGAAGTTCCTAAAGTTAATAGGTTATCTGGTAATGGGTAACTTGATGACGCCTCTGGGGTGCCTTATGGAGATTTGCATTATGTTTAGGCATACAGAGATCTGCAATATTAATGCTCGTTAAAACTGTACTGTTAGTTATAACCTTCTCTTGTGATGTTGCTACCGCTGAGTATTACCATATTTCTTCTTGTGCAATAGACCAATTAGATTGTTAGTTACCTAGCTATTTCAAATTGTATTTTTTTTTTTTTTTGTACAATGGTGAAGAATGATGAATTACGGACTCATTTTAGTCCATAAAATGTTCCATTTTTGGCCTACTCCCTGAAAGTCGTCATAACAATCATAAACAAATTATACCTGGCGCACCTGCCACAACAATGCCAATGCGTAATCCAGTTAAAAAAATTTAATGTTGTCACATGGTGAAGGGGGCCCGCTGTAGTCTTGCACAAGGGCTCGGTTTTGATTTGCTACGTCCCTGCATTTGATTCGGTCAAAGAGATATTGGCAAAGGTTGGGTGTCCGCAAAAGTTCATCCAAATACTCTGCCTGCTGCATGATAATATGAGTGCAAGCACAGCAATGATGGACGAGGAGACTCTTTCTAAAAAACTACAGGCGTTAAACAGGGCTGTGTTATTGCACCCACTTTATTTTCCCTATTTATCGGATCCATACTTCACCTTCTCGAGGGTCATCTGCAGTCAGGAGTGAAAATCCTGTGAAGACTTGATGGCGGCTTATTCAACCTAGACAAATTACGTGCCAAGACGAAATTATCGACGACATCGATATTTGAACTTCAATATGCAGAAGATAACGTAGTGATAGCCAATACAGAGGAAGATCTTCAGGCAATTTTCAATGCATTCAACCAGGCATACAAAATAATCGGCCTAGAGCTCAACTTTAACAAGACGCAGATTCTGCACCAACCCGCATCGGATACTAATCCCCAAGACTCAAATATAAATGACGATTCTTTGCAGAACGTAGAACACTACCTATACTTTGGGAGCCATCTGTCAGCAGCGAATACAACCATTGCAGCTGAAATCCAAGATTGCTTGAAGTGTGCTAGCACGGCGTTTGAGCAACTTCTAGAAAAGGTCTTTAACAATCACGACATCAGCGCTGACAACAAACTTCACGTCTACAATGCATTTGTAATACCGATACTTACATATGGCTGCGAAATATGCACCACCTACAGAATACCACCAGCAGCCTAAGAAGGATATCCTACGGATTAAATGGCAGAACCGACAGATGAACATTAGTGTTTTAGAGGAGGCCAAAACAAATAGCATGGAAGCCCTCATCATTAGGCACAAACTTTGCTAGATAGGTCAGCTCGTCTGCATACCCGAAACACGTTTTCCGCGATAGATTCTCTACAGTCAACTAAAAGAGGTAAATCGAAATCAGGGAGGTCAACAAAAACGCTACAAGGATGTTTTTAGGAAGAAGTTGGTAGAGTGCAGGAATCGATACTAGCACCTGGGAGACCATGGCAAATGATAGGCCCTCATGGCGTCGAGTAGTCCACGACGAACTGCAAACTTTTGAAGTACAGCAACCTAGACATGAGACTGAAAAGAGGGACCGCAGGAAGAAGCAAGAGAACAGAGGAAGAGACAATGAGGCTGAATGTGCCAAGACTGTGGAAGAGTGTGCGGCTCCAGAATTGATTTATACAGCCATCAGAAAATGCACAATCGACGAGAATAAAAATAGAATAGCAGATTATGAGTATGAGTCTTTGACATCTGATTTATTTCTTCAGCAATCAAATTAGGTAGTATTTTTGGGATTGGGAGTTCACCACATCCACGCGCGTTTTGGTTTCCGGTCTCCGGCCCTTCATTTCCTGTAGAAGTAAAAAAAATGCAGTCTCAGTCCCGCTGATTATTTGATCGTATGGTAAAAATTAAAGGTCAAAAGTAGAATAGGTATAGTGCCATCAGGTGGTGTATCTTGACAGTATTCTCAGAAAATGTCCCTGACATTCGGGCTATATTTTGAGGCTGTTTGCTCTGCAGAGAAGAGCTTGGCGGGATACAAAGTTCCTCTTCAAGAAACATCAGATATTCTATTCCTTCAACCTATATCTCTATGAACTAATCTAAAAATAATTAATTGCTTCAAATCCTTCAACTTTCTAGAAAGATATTTTTATGAGAAAAATTCCCAAATATATAGTATTGGAAAAGCAAAATTATATTTAAACGTTGGCTATGGCGTGGTATAAAATACCCAAGAAATTGTATATAAATTCTACCAAAGATGTACATATACATATGCTCTGTGGGAGAGAAATTGAACCCGCGGCACCATCTATCGATATTTACGGCTTTTAATAAAATTTCTATCAGTTCGTAAAACGAAACATCTACAAAATAATTTATCTTTTTCCGGCATTCGACTATATCCAATAACTTTCGTATCACCAGTACCTATTATGAGAGCAAAAATTGCTTTCGTTAAATACTTGCTATTTATTTTATGGCTCGAGTCATTTGCTTGAAATTGGCGGAAAATCGTAACGTTAAAATTTAGATCTGCATAGGCGCTTCCTCCATGATGTTTTAATAGTGTTTTAAAATCGAAGTAAAAAAATAAAACGGGCATATTTCACGCTACGATTCTTCATGGTCCCAAATGATGGCAGCTGGGTTCTTAATTTGAACACGCGAGGGGGTCCATTAATTTTATACAGAGGAAGAGTAGCAACTAATATTAAAGAGGATTAACATCTCAAGAACCGCCGGATCATAATCTTTCTAATAAAATAAACA